ACATAAAATAATAGTTTTCAAGACACTTGTCATCAAGAAACAAAGGACAGTAATTCCCGAGAGACTGGAAAAAAAAAACAGGCAAACCCTATGATTACAGCAGCTCTCTATTTTGGGGAGTCTCTGGGTTATGGTATAGGAAAAGAGAACTCAAGTGGAGCCTGGCACCCTGTCCAAGCTGAGGATAATACGGAGTCAGAATCCAAGGAAATCAAGGTAGCTGGCGTGTGCTGGTCAGGACACCAGTGAGGAGCAAGCAGCAGAGAAAGGACTCCACAGGTCTGCAGACAGTCCACTCAACCATGGGGCTGCTGATCACCCCACATGTGTGAGGAAACTAGCAGGACTGGGCTAACAGCAATCTGAGAGGACTGGAGGTCAGGCTGGGCACTGCCATAGGGTAGAGAATGAACAATGACTGTTCCCATCAGCCGGAATGAAAATATTCACAACCCACAAGGCACAGGACTCAGAAAGGTCTTGCTTCAGTAGTGGGGATAATTAGTCCCAGGGAAGCACTATTTCAGACCTGCTTCACAAGTTAGTAAAAGCAAAACCCCAGAGCATCAAAACTGTTTCCAAATAGGTAAACTGAATTCTAGAACAAAGTTCAAGAATACTTCCAGGCCCTGGCCAGGTGGCTCAGTTGGTTAAAGCATCATCCATACACCTAAAGGTTGAGAGTTCGGGCCACCATCAGCACACAAACCTAGGTCATGGCTTTGATCCTTGTCAGGGTGCATTGGGCAACCAATCAATGTCTGTCTGTCTGTCTCTCTCTCTCTCATCAATAAATATATGCTAGGGTGAGGATTTTAAAAAAAGAATACTCCCAGGACAACAACAATTCCTGGCACCAAATGAGGTAAAATTCACAATTTCCATGCTATTGGTTAAGAAGAGAGACACACTGAGATGTCAGAGCCAGACCCTGGACAGACACCAAGGATCAGCGGCCACCACTAGATGCTAGGAAGAGTCTCAGAAGGAACATGAACTCTTTCATTTCAAACTTCTAGCCTCCAAATCTGGGGGAGAATGCATTTTTGGTTTTTTAAGCCAGCCATTTATGGTGCTCTGTTAACATCAGTCCCAGGAAACTAGTATTGCAGGGGTGTAACTTCATCCTTTCACATGGGGACAGCCCGCTGTCCCAGCACCATTTACTTAAAAAGTCTATTCTTTTTCCTACTGAATGGTCTTGGCACACCTGACAAAAGTCATTTGGCCATAAATGTGGAGGTTTATTTCTGGTCTTTCTGTTCTATATGTCTATCGAAAGGTCAGAACCACAATGTCTCCAGGACGCTGGCTTCACATTAAGATTTGAACTTGGGACATCTGAGTCTTAAATTTTGCTTTTCCATTTCAAGATGGTTTAAGTTATTTTTGGTTCCTTGCATTTCCATACAAATTTTAGGATCAGTTTGTCAATTTCTGCACAGATGAGAGCTTAAGTTTTGATAAGGATTGAGTTGAATCTGTAGTGTTGCTGTCTTAACAATATTAAGTCTTCTAATCCATGACAACAGGAACTTCCCAGTTATTCAGATCTTTCTTAATTTTTCAACAACTTTTCATAAGTTTTATAAGTATAACTTTTGTGCTTTGGTGGTTGAATTTACTCCTATTTTATTATTTTTGATATTATTATACATGGAATTGTTTTCTTAATTTTGTTTTGGGGCTATTCATTGCTAAACTATAAAAATAGTTGATTTTTAAATTTATTTGGCAGCCTACAATGTTGTGTAGGAGTCATACCTTTCCCCCTCTATGTATGAGTCATGCTTTCTTGTATTATGGTATGTCTCCACGTTTTTTTTTTTTGAAACCTGGACATGTTCTATAACATGCAGCCCCAACTCTGGACACTTATTACTACTTGCCCAGGGCTTGTGGTGATAGTGGTTGTTTTCTGTTTAGGGACTTGGCAGCACTGTTTTGGGGATGTTGGTTTTCTCCGCAGGGAACCTCTGACACTGCTCCTCACGGCACCTCCCCAGGGGCACAGTCACCCTGGAGACAGCATGGAGCAAGGCCGTGTGTCTGTCTGTCCCCCTGTCTCTCCATTAAGCTGTCTGCCTTTGTTGTTATCACACCCCACTATTGGGATATTCTATTGTTTTTAACAGTGCCCTGGGACGTGACTTGCTTCTCAGTTAAATTCAGGCAGGGGCTGTTTCCGAGGCCAAGCCTGGAGGTTTGTTCTGACCCAGCACCAACAGCTATCTCCACTCTTTCCCTAGTTATCTCTGGTTAAACAGCTGGCCTAGGGTTTCACCTGTCACAGAGCTACCAGGATCCTCTGCATGGCTTACCACCACCACCTCCATTGTCAACAAGAGGTCCCTTACTCATGAACTGCCCACCAGTCTGTTGCGAATGAAGTCACTTTCTGGAGAAGAACTTTGAAGCTCCCTGTTCTTCTGGGGGGGTTTTAATTAAATTTATTGGGGTGGCATTGATTAATAAGATCATATAGGTTTCGATTGTACATTTCTATGGTGCTGGATCTATATCTTGCACTGTGTACCCACCACCTAAAGTCAAAACTATGTCAGAGGGAAAGAGAAGGGAGGGTGGAGGGGGGCCTAATATGTGGTGATGGAAGCTCTCTGTTCTTATCTGGATCTCTGAGCCACAGCTTGAGAGCTGGAGGCAAGGACAGTGGAGGGCTTTTCTCAGAACACCACTCTTGCCTTTACGGACAGGGCACTGTGTCTCAGCCACCGGCCTGCAGTGACCGAGGAACACTACAGATGGCTCATCAAAACACGAGAAAAGTATACACACGGACAACCGAGTCCTGTAGAGAAATAGGGACAAAAACAGCCACTCTCTCTAGTGGAGAGTGCCCCGTTTTCCCGCCTGAGCAGGCTTTTATTAAGAATACAGATACAGTTTGTGGATTACAGTCTGGCAGGGAAGATCAAAAGGAATTGGTAGCTTTCAAAGGTGCTAGTAGATCTCCCGCTGGGATTCTGGGCTGAGAGTTTGGGTTTTATCACTTCAAAAGACTACAGGATCTAAAAGGCTAGTTTCGTTTCCTGCCCGTGCCTTCATATTCTAATTAAATAGCATCCTCCAGCAAGAAGATCTCACAGGATCTTGCATATTCTATGTCCCAGGCCTGATTACCCCGGGGGTCCACCGACTCTGGTCTAGGCTGCACTGCCCCTGTTATTTCTGAAGGCCTGAGTCGGGCAGAGGAGACAAAGGCAGCCAGGAGACTTGGATTTCTCACAACTAAGAACAAAGACTCAGGCTTTGACAAAGCCAAGGGGGCAGGGGTCAATGTTGATCACCCCTTCATTTCCACAGCCCCCTGAGTCTCTTCCCTGAGGCCTCCAAGTGATCATGCCTGTCTTAGGCAATTCCCCCCTTTGGAAATCTTACCTGTCATTGGCTAACTGATAAAGCATAGGAGATCAGGCACAGAACAGGCAGCGTTCATGCCAGGGAAATAAGATTTGTCTCCTTAGTGGCTCCTGGTTTGGAGGTCTCTCACTTAGCCTAAGTCATGGGGGGTTACAGCTTCCTGAGACCAGGCAGGGCAGACTCTAACAGCACTGGGCAGGGTTAGTAGCTTCTGGCCTTCTTGGCTTGCTTCTCCCAGCATGGAAAATCTTCCTACCAGCAGGCCAGGGCAACGCTGACAAAGAGCCCAGTATTCTGAGCCCACTTCGCTGGGTGGAGCCTAGGCCCCATGCATGACATTTGATGAGATCAGGCGAGTTCAGGGTGGTATGGCCATAGACTGCATGACATTTGAGACTCAGTGCTGAGGGGGTGGGTAAGGCTGACAGCTGGCCCCACTGGGGGGATGCCACAGCCCTTGACTGGCAGATGGAAGAAGCAGAGCTTCTGGTTAGGGTTCCTCCCATTCATGTTACTTTCATCAGGCCCAGCTGGGGCAGGTGGTGGGCATTGGGGGCCTTTGTAGGTAGATCGCTGTTCTGATAATTAGTATATTTTCTTCTTTTAAATTTTTTAAAACATGTGTATTTTAGAGAGAGAGGAAAGAAGGGAGAGAGACAAACATTGATGTGAGAGAGAAACATGGGTTGGTTGCCTCCCATTTACATCCCCACCAGGGATCAATTCCCCAACCCAGGTACGTGCCCTGACAGGGAATTGAACCCCCTACCTCTGGTTTATGGGAGGACATTCCAACGAACTGAGCCACACCGGCCAGGACATGATACTTAGTATATTTTCTTGAGTAAATGTTTCTTTATAATCCATTTAGAGTGACAAATTTCTTTCCTGCTTCTCTGGGTCCACAAGAGGAGATTTCTAGGTTTCTTCACTGGGTAGCTCTCACAAGGCCTTCATTTTAAGTTCTCATCTCCATGACTAACCCCAATGGCCCAAAAGCCATGAATGGCAGCCTCACTGGTGACAACGGGTCCCACAGCCACTGACACATCTCTCCCCAGGCTGCTCAGGCACCAGAGTACACGTTCAGCTCTGGCTTCTAGGCCCTTTATTTCTGGCACCTGTGACTTTAACTGTGCCTCATTCACACCTAGCTGTTTACTGAAAATACTTTTCCTAGAATATGTGTTTAAACAGAATGCAGGCCTTTTGAAAAATGTCTGAGGGCCAAGCATGTGTCAGGTTCTGCACTTCAGACCGACGCCAGGACAAACAGAGTCCACCCCATCCTCCCAATAATCAGCGTCCCCCAGAGAGATGCACCGTTGAGTTGTGAGCAGGGAGGGAAAGACTGGCAGAACACAACCAGAGATCCTTCTACTGGGGAGTCAGAGAAGAGCTCCAGAAAGAAAATGTTCTGTGAAGTCAGGAAAGACACATTGTCTGTGGCAGGCACCCAACCTCAGGGACCCTCCCTGCCCCAGGGGCCTCCCCACACCTGTGCCATTCAGTCAAGCCCACAGAAAAGACAGGTAGGATGTGTGTTGATGTTTCAGGGTCTGGGGGAGAAGGCCAGGACGGGAAGGTCCGGCATGATCTACCTGGTCGCACAGAGCCGCTCCCATTTGAAAGATGGTTTATTCTTTAAGACAGGATAACAAAGTCACGCCTGTAGAGACAGCGGTTTGTTGATGGGCAGGGAGCACTCAGAGCTGCAGGGAAAGGATTTCATCACCTCTGGCCCTTGGGGCGTGGCCTTCAAGCTTGAGATTTCTTGATCTTCCACACTTGGGTTTCACAGTCTGGTCTGAATCCACGGCTGAGGGTGGGGTCACTGGAACCAGTAATGTAACATGGTTTTGATGTCAATGTGAAAGAGTTCTGCTTCTTTTTCTAATCAGTCACCTGGAGCGCAAAGGTCTGGTTTCTCCTCCCCTCTCTCTCTGCTCTCCCCCAGCTCCACTCCGGCTCTCCCATGCTTGCTCAAAAGACTCTGCACTGTACTCTCGCTTCCCCGTTCACCTTCTCTTACCACTGACCCTCCCCAGCCTTCCCCTCCATGTGGGACCCTGGAAACTCCCTTTCTTCCTCCTTTTTAACTCTCCTCTCTCCATCCTTTGCATTCCACCTTTTCTTTTATTCTTTTCATCTCTGCTCCCCTTTCTTTCCTCTCCAGATCTCTGCTCCTCACACTTCCTCCATCCCCTGTCCCCTCCTCCCACCACTCCACCTGTCTCTTCCCCCTCTCTCTATCACCTGACTCCCTCTCTCCACCCAGCTCCATCTCTTCCCTACTCACCCGTGTCTTTTCTAATCATCCCCCAGACACTCTTACCCTGTATCAGAAGCAACTCTTCTGAGCTCCATCCTTGTTAAAGTTTTCAGTGAGTGAGCACCACGCTATCCCCAAAATACTCCCATGGACTGTGCAACTGTCACACAGTTTGCCATTATAGGCAAAGGGAAAGTAACAAGGGGCATAGTCTGAAAAGTAGAAGGAAGGGTGAGAAAATTAGTTGAGGGGAGGTTATTTTGGTCTCATCAAGAGAAAGGGGACATGAATGGGACACCTGGGGCTGGACGGGGAGATGCCTGCAGCTTCCATGTAGAGTGCAGTTATGGACCCCGCCCCTCCCCCTGCATCTGAGAAGCCACACACTCCTCACAGGAGGAAAAGCTGCTTACTCACCGTCCTTTGTACAATATTTCCATCTCCCTAAATATTCTTCATCTAGAGAACACCAATTGTTTAGAAAATCATGGCTAATGCAATCAAAATACTTCTTGCCTGCATAGGTAAACAGGATAGCACAGCTCTCCTCTGGAAAAAGAAAAAGGCAGGCACCGTTCTCATCAGCTCTTCTGTGTGTCGTCCCCTCTGCACTCACGCTGGCAACATTTCTGTCCAAGCCAGTCCACCAAGACATCGTGCCTGCCACGCACGCAGCCCTCCAGGCAGCATCAGGGATGCCAAGGCCGACGTGATGGGTTCCCTGCCCAGTGACAGGTTCACCCCCCCATTATTCCCCCCGGGCACATGCCTCATGGACACTGCAGCTCCTGGTGACACCTGCGCTCGCCAGACCTCAACGCAGCCTGATCGGAGATCACGATTTTTTTAGATGCTGTGGATTTGTCGTGTCTGGAGCTTCCACTTCACCTGGTTTGACACTAAAAGTCTAAGTATGTTTCATATTTGGGAACACAGGTGATGTCTTGCTATCATCATGAATAATCTACCTCACATCATTCAGAAGCCCCATAGTGAGCCACATTCATGGTGTAAGAAAATGAGGGTCAGCGTGCAGTGACTTCACACTGGAACAGACTGAAGAGGAAAACTATGGGAATCCAGAGAGGGCTCCATGGCCACGCGGCCAGGCCAAGCGTCTTTGGCCTGCATGAGTTCTCTCAGCTGCGTCACTGTGTTTCCTGGAGGCAAACAGCACCTCTCTGCGACTCCTGCGTTTTCTGTCTGACACCCCCTGCCCCACCCAGTCCTGCCTTCTGCTTCTTGGACAGGCTTGCCTGCAGGCTGCCCTCCCTTCCAACGAGGCTCTCTCCTGAGACTCCTGCCCCACTACCTACCCGTGGCCTGGGCTGAATGTATAAGCGACTTGGGCTGAGGCGGGGGGAGGATTTGTGCTCCACCCACAGCCCAGGAAATATGGGCACCTGCCGTCCCATCACTGAGGGGCGAACTTAGCCCACGCGTGTATAATACCCTTGAAGAATGCTGATCACAGTCACCCACCCCCACACACAATGGTTTGTTTGACGTGATGTTTGTTTTCATCATTTTCCAACACTGCTTCCCTGAGGAAATGGGAGAAGGACAGATGCGACGGAGCTGGAAAAAATGCAGGTGTAGTGGGAACGCAGAGAGCAAGAACAGAAAGGAGCCATCTGAACACACTGATGGCAGGACCCACTCTGCTGCTCTAACTTCCTGTCACCTTAAAAGGTTATCGTTTTTTTCCTGTGCTAAGAACACAACACAAGATCTCCCCACTCCACACATTTTTTAAATTGATTTTAAAGAGGGAAGAAGGGAGAGAGAAAATATATCAATTTGTTGTTCCACTTACTGATGCATTCATTGATTGACTCTTGTATGTGGCCTGACCAGTAATCAAACCCACCACCTTGGTGTATCAGAACAGCACTCTAACCAACTAAGCTACCCAGCCAGTGCTTCTACTTAACACATTTTTTTAAAAGATTTATTGATTTTATGTTTGTGGGGGGGCAAGGGAGGGAGAAAGAGAAAGAAACATCAACGTGTAGTTGCCTCTCATGCGCCCTCTACTGGGGACTTGGCTTTCAACCCAGGCATGTTCCCTCACTGGGAATCGAACTGGCAACCCTTTGGTTCTCAGGCTGACACTCAGTCCACTGAGCAACACCAGCCAGGGCTACTTAACATATTTTTAAGAATAAGCTCCATAGATCTGCTCTATAAAGCAGTGACTATAGTTAGCAACACTACTTTCTTCACAGTTTGAAGGCCATTTTATTAGAAACAGATACCCAAGAAGGCTACAACATACCACATGAGGAAGAGCCTCACACTCCCTCAAAGCTGTCATACTGACACACAAGAGTTACATGGCCCCTGGGACATAAGCGTACCATGCTAATCATGGATGTGCCCTGATAATATGCCTTCCCTGTTACTGCAAACACTCACCCCTATTTACATCAAAAACTCACTTGGAACGATGTAAGTAACCCTGTGTTACACAGGATGCCCATGTCTGGAACACTGGAAAGCACAGTCAGAAATGAGGCAGCTGTCGTGAACACTGATGGTCAATAACACCATGAGCTTTTGAGTCAGACCGACTAGGCTTACATTTCAGAGACTTGTTTGAAGAGAAAAATGAGTCCATGGGACATGCTCAAGGAATGGCAGATATATTGGTTCCATTGTTATTATTATTATTATTATTATTATTATTATTATTATTATTATGTTTTACCATTCAACCCATTTCTGGTGCCCTTTCTTCCACCCCAGTCCCAGCGCATCTCCCCTCCCTCACCTCCATGCACATGGTCCACGTGCAGAAAGAAGCAGGCGGCGCCGATCCAGATGAAGAGTTCGCATGTTCAGTGCCATGGCAGCTGGCCTTCTGTGACTGACGAACGTCAACCTCTGCTGCCTTCTTATATGACCAGTTTCCCCTCACACCAAACCCCCCCCACCAGATAGGAATCAACCTCACCAGGACTGTGCTGGTGTGTTCCTAAGCCTGAGTGCATGAAGTTCAAGTTTATCTCTCAGGTAAAATCACAGGACATTGGCCCATGGTTTAATGTCTCTGGAATGTATAGTTTAAAATGCATTTTAAAACAAGCAAAGATGTTTGTAAAATCCCTAGAATGCTTATGTTGCTCCAAACCACATTTAGTCAGTGGGTTGAGCACCAGTCTGCAATCCAAAAGGTCACAGTTCAATTCCCAGTAAGGGCACATGCCTGGATTTCAGGGCCAGGTTCCCAGTTGGGGGCATGCAAGAGACAACTGATTGATGTCTCTTGTACATTGATGTTTGTCTCCCTCTCCTTCTTCCTCCCTACCCCCTCTCTAAAAATAAGTAAATGAGGCCCTGGCTGGTGTGGCTCAGTGGTAGAGTGCCGGCCTGTAAATCAAAGGGTCACTGGTTCTATTCCCAGTCAGGGCACATGCCTGGGTTGCAGGCCAGGTCCCCAGTAGGGGGCGCATGAGAGGCAACTACACATTGATAATTCTCTTCCTCTCTTTCTCCTTTCCTTCCCCCTCTATAAAAATAAATAAATAAATAAAATATTTTTTAAAATAAAATAAAACAGATACATGACAGGAGGCAGTTAATCAATGTTAGAGCATCTAACTAAAGTTGTTTCTGGAGTTTTTCTGCAAGCACTGTGGACCCTCTCATAAAACAGATAGTGGCCAGAGGCAGGCAATTAACCAAAGTTGTTTTAGGGGTTCCTTCTTTGGACTCTGTGGGCCCCCTCCTCTTCCCCTTTCTAGGCCTTGGGAAGAATACACAGTTTCAAAGGCTTTCTTTCCCAGATGGTGGGAACAGTACATACAGAACTTCAAGGGATCCCCTCCTCCTGCACTAGCATGGTGTTTCTTGTGATGTCTGGAACACCAGGCAATATTATCGAATCAGGTTAGGGCTTCAGAGTTAGTGAGCGAAACATGTCTCCCTCCTCCTCCCTGCCTTGGTTTATTACCTGATCTACCTAACACCAGCACTAACACCAACCCAGAAGCTCCCTGAACCCTGTACTGTTGGCATTTTTATCAAGGGTGCATCACACAGGCATGGCCTATCATGAATTCCATTTCCTGCCCCTTTCCCCTCTCTGGAGGATGAGGGGCGAGGCTGAAAATCCCAAGCCTCTCCCCACGGCTGGGTCTCTCTGGTGACTTGCCTTCATGCAGGAGCCCACCGAGAGTCACCTCATGAAAACAAAAGGTCTTCCCATCACCCAGGAAATTCCAAGGGGATTGGGAGCTCTGTGTCAGGAACTGGGGACATAAACAAACACACAGTCACCTGCTGGGGAAATAAAAAGTAGTTTATCCATACAATTGGATATCATCCCACAATTTAAAGGAATGAAGAAACAGTACACACCACAATATGAGTAGACCTCAAAGACGTTATTATGTCCTCAGGAAAGAAAGAAAATATACACAGAAACATGCTGTGATTGCATTTATCTGAAATGTTCCCAGCAGGCAAAGCTATAAAGACAAAGCAGATTAGTGCATGCCAAGGCCTGGGAGGTGGGAACCAAGGGCCTGATGATGGGCATTGGGTGTCTCTTGGACATAAGGAAGTTGCTCTAAATTGATGGTGATGATGGCTGTGCACGTTGTGGCTGCACCGAAGACCATTGAACTGTGAGGCTGAAATTGACAAACTGTGTGACTTGTGAGTGACATGGCTGCAAAGCTATTGAAAGAATGGGGAGGCTGTTACTAAAGGTTGCTTCTCACTTTTACAGCAGACTTAACAGAGACATACATGGTATCGCCTCTCCCTGTGCCCTGGGGAGGAGTGGTGCTCCCTTCAATAGCCTGGCTAAGCGCCTTTAGCATCCAGGCCTGCTTCAACTCTCTCCAGCTAGGATGACCTTGGGAAAAGGTTTTAAGTGTTTTAGTTCTGTCTTGTCATCTATAAAATGAAAACAACAATAATTTCAATCCATAGATTTGCTATGAGATTCAAACCAGGGAAGAGATGTTAAGAATAAAAAGAGTGTGCAGGATGCCCTGGCTGGTATGGTTCAGTGGGTTGGAGCACCATCCCTTAGACTGAAGGGTAGTGAGTTTGATTCCTGATTAGGACACATACCCAGGTTACAGGGCGAGGTGGTGGGTTTGATCCCAGTTGGGGTGCACTCAAGAAGGCAACCAATTGATGTCCATCTGTTTCTCTTTCTCTCCCTCTCTCCCCTCCTCCCTCCCTCCCTCCCTCTCTC